GACCTTTTGTGCCACAGTTGTTAAGTGAATCACTGCAATTGTTACATTAGTAACAAGGTTGTTAAATGAATCTGGCTTCCCCATTGGCTCTGCTTGTCAGAAGGTCGCAAAAGGTGATCACGTGACCCTGGGACACAGCAACCATCATAAATATGAACCAGTTGCCAAGCATCTGAATTTCAATCACATGACTATGGGGATACCACAACAGTCCTAAGTGTGAAAAACAGTCATAAGTCATTTTTTTCAGTGCCACTGTATCTTTGAACAGTCACTAAATGAACTGTTGTAAGTCGAGGACTACTGTACTATCTTATGAACATAAAATATTTTTTTACCAACCTTGCCCAAGATATCTATTATGCTTATACAAAATGTAGATGCCAAAGTAAATCATTTCCCCTTGTATTGATATTGCTTCATGCAGGACCCATGAAGACCAACTCCCAAAAGATGCTGGAACACGACACATCTGGATGGTATCCAGTTGAGGAAAGTAGCTGTATTCAAATATATATGGGTACATATAGAAGTGAATACAACAGCTTTCACCAACTGGATACCATCCAGATGTGTGGTACTATAGCTTCTATTTTTTCTCAGCCAACAAGATTAGACTGGTTCTGAACTTTGAAGAGTTTTGAAGGACATCAATATGGGTAAGTTACATATGGGAATCCTATACTGACCAGGTGGCAGATAAGTTTGTATTAAAAGCATACTGTAAGTTTTGCAGTCTTACTAAAACACTGCAGTTCTGTTACCTACTTTGAATGTTTGAATTGCCTCCTGATGCGTCAGCCCTTGTAATGATTCCCCATTAACTTCTAGAAGTTCGTCTCCTGGAAACCGAAAACAAAATGCATTATTGACATTTAGATGGGATGAAATGCTGTTTTTAGAAATAAAAGGCATTCCAGTTCTTCCCATACTATTATATTACAACATATGTTATCTCTTTCTATGCTTAAATAAATTAAGTTTAAACAGTGGCATGTTATTTTTGCCCTGAAAGTTTCATTAGACTATACAAAATTTGGAAGCATTTTGTAGTTTAGTTATCTTGTGCGTTTGGAATTTTGGAAGCCCAACAAGGAAAAATGTTTAGGAGTCATTCTTATCCATTAATGGTAGCAAAATGAGAATTTGCAGGAATGAACAATCCACAATACATGGCCCAGAAGCAGAACAGCTGAACTTTGCTGGATGAAATCTCATCCAATTTCAGGCTGCAGAGTGGCTTATGGGTGGGAATGGGAGGCTGAATTATGGTTTCCACTCTTTCCTGGATCTTGGGTGAAGACATGTTTGTCACCAAATGTGGTATAGCACAAACTATAGCTTCTGGATATGGATTGTTACAAGATAATTACATTACACTGCATTACACAAACTATCGAAGGAACTGTCCCCTATTCTACATTAGCAAGAAAAAATCTGGTGTATATTGTGTAAAAATAATATTTCAGATGTCTCTCTTCTGAAACATCTGAAATATTGGAAGGAAGTATCTGGAAGGGATAAAGCCATGGCTCCAAAGAGAGCAGTTTACATTATATTAACCACTTCTCCTTCTTTTGCTCTGGACCAAGAACAGAAGGAAAGCCTGGTTCTGTCAACAAATTACAGGTAGTCCTCAACGTATGACCACAATTGATTTACGTTGCTAAGTGAAACATTTGTTAAGTGAGCTTTGCCCCATTTTACGACCTTTCTTGCCACAGTTGTTAAGTGAATCTGACTTTGCTTGTCAGAAGGTTGCAAAAGGGGATCACGTGAACCTGGGACATAGCAACGGTCATAAATAGGAACCAGTTGCCAAGCACCGGAATTTCGATCACGTGACTACAGAGATGCTGCAATGTTATAAGTGTAAAGAAACGGTCATAAGTCCCTTTTTTCAGCATCATTGTGACTTTGAATGGTCACTAAATGAACTGTTGTAGGTCGAGGACTACCTGTATTCAGCTTGGTCATGAGTTTTTGTTCTCCAGCTTACATGTTTGGCAGGATGAACAGATAGGATAGGTAAATATGGGCTTGGAAAGTGGTTAGTTTAGACAAGTTGTGAGGCTAACAAAAATCTGTTTTTTGCAAGCGTACCTTCTTTTAACCTGCCATCAGCTGCTGCAGCCCCATTTGGAAAAATTGTCTTTACAAAAATGCCCATACGACCCCGGGCAGAATCTTGTCCCCCCACAATGCTGAATCCAAGACCCTGCAGCATAGGTACAAATTAGGGCAAAGGGAGAGGAATAAATACCTCATACGAATCTCCATAGACAAATACCCCATAACTTCCCAAATCACAAACAACAGGAATCTGTAAACTGAACTAACTAAACTGGTTTCTTCATCTTTGTTGTTAAACAGTAAGAAAGAAAAAGATTTTAAAGGAAGGGAGAATATACTATCTCAGCACAATGCTAGGTTTTAGAACCAACAGAAGTATCTGCATGCTGTATTTTCAATGGGAGCCTGGCAAAATATCTTAAGATGTGGGCAGACTGCAAGAGAAAGAGACCTGAAATGAATAGGCAAATGTCCAATTAAAATTAGAATTATGTGGGCAAGCCTCACTGAATCTGTTAAAATGCTGGCAATCAAGTTCTGTACTGAATTTCCTGATTCTTCTTCAGAGGCAACCCAAGTAGAATCTTCCCAATAAGCCAACAGCTGGTTTTGCAACTAAGGTGGGTCTAGAACCAGTGGTGGGATTCAGCCAATTCGCACCACTTCAGCAGAACCGGTAGCTAATTTTTTGTTGCCCAGGCCCAGAATAGACTTCCAGAAGTGGCATCCACACAAAGAACCGGTTGTTCACATATTTGAAACCCACCATTGTCTAGAACTCACAGTTTCCTACTTTCTAGCTTGATGCTTTAACCACTAAGCAAACTGGCTCTCATCATTGATTAATTTCTAATCAGAAACAGTGGACTCTGCAGTGTTAAAGAAACCTAAATGGAGTATATGGTGTTTATATAGACCCCAAAACTTTTACCATCAGTGACCTCATATTCTCAAGAACTGTGGATATCACTTTTCCCTCTACATTGCATCAACTACAATAGCATCTCTTTTGCTATAATAAATTTTAGAACAGCCCTCTGCAACTTGGGTCCTCAGAAAAGTTCTTGACTTAGATTCCTAGACTTTCTAGACAGATACACAATATTAAAGTCTTTTTTTACTTCATTCTTACCTTGCCCTGCCCCTTCATCAGAACAATGTTGGAGATAATAGATGGCTGTGTAAGTCGCCAGGGATATTCAACCTGAGCTGCACTCAAGGAACGAGTGGATTTCTTAACAATGTGGTATTCCTTCAGAAATAGAACAAACACAATAATTGCAAAAGAACCAGAATGATTCTGTCTCAGTTATAGGTTGTCTAATCTTGGTTTCTGGTTAGTAAATAGTCATTAGATCATGGTTACATGTAAGTGCTTAAATGTGTGTGTATGTGTACACATACATATATACATACATGCACATACATACAGTACACACACACACACACACACACACACACACATAATAAGACTGGGTCTTTTTTTTTTTCCTCCAAAAGAGGCACCAGGTCTTATTTTCAGGGGATGTCTATTATACTCACCTCTGGCACCGACACCTCTGGCACCGAAGGTCCATTTCTTCTGCGGCTGAAGGAGCAGCTTAATTCTACAGCTGCATTCCAGCCTGCATTTCGCAGTCAGGCCTTTCTGGAAGGCCTCTGCAACTGAGTACAGAGCTATGGATTGAATCCATAGCTTGGTTCTCGGCTGCAGTGGCCTTCCGGAAAGGCCTCTGACTGAGAAATGCAGGTCTGGCTGCAGAAGATGCCTCAGAAGAAGTGGGCTGGTGAGGAGAGGCCTGGCTGCGGGGTAAGTGGGTGTGGGGTGCATGGGGCAGATCTATCCCCCACCCCTGCCCTAGCTTGATTTTTAAGTGTGTGCCTCGCCCGGAAACTAGGGCTTATATTTGGGGTAGGGCTTACGATGTATATGTATGTTTGTGTGTGTATATAAACAGGGTAGAAAATAAATCAAGATAAGTACCAGAGAACACAAGGTAGTATCTTCCAAAATGTTCTGCAATATATTGTATATTTTTATTCAAATTAAATAAATATTCTACTATATACAAATAAGGCATCATAATAACCTATGCTGGCATATGAATTATGAGCAAGCTCAGAGAGCACCAAGGATCCCTCTTTGTAACCCTGAGCTACAAATATTCTCCTTCATTGTAATTACAAGTAGTCCTCAGCTTAGAACCATTCATTTGGCAACCATTCAAATTTACAACAGCAATGAAAAATGACTTACGATCAGCCGCCTCAACATCCCTGTGGTCACATGACTGAAAATCAGGCATTTGGCAACTGCCCTGTATTTACAATGGCTGCAATCTCCCAGCATCATGTGATCTCTATTTGAGGCCTTCCCAGTTGGCTTCCAACAAGCAACATCAACGGGGAAAGCTGGATTCGCTTAATAACTGCACGATTCACTTAAGAACCGCAGCAGTTCGCTTAGCAACCATGGCAAGAAAAAGATTGCAAAATCAGATGTGACTTACTTAACAGCCACCTTGCTTAGCAACAGTTGCGTTCCCAATGTTGGCTGTAAGTCAAGGACTACTTGTACAGCATTTGCATTCTGGTTCATGATTGAGTTTGTTTTAATCTTTGCTCCCTCCATCAATTACCAATAGTTAAAATAGGAATTATTTGGCTCAAATGATGCCATTTCCCCCCCCCCTTCCTCACCTGTCTGGTTCCTGTGTCCAAATGCTGCGGTAAGGAATGCTTTCTGCCTCCCCGGGAATATTTCATTGGTAGTTCATAATTCACATCTCCATTTTCTACTGTCAACTCATCATCTTCTCCCACAGACTCTAAGCGAGTTGCCGCCCCTAAAGAATAACCCAGGGATAAAATTTATTATACATGCATCAAAGCCTCTTTTAAGATTGTCAGTTCTAATGGAATTTAGAATGTCCATTGAGAAATGATGGGTGGATGCATTTCTTAAAACATCTAAACAACAATAATAAATGTTATCTTTGTGTGTGTGCACATGCATGCATGTGGCTATATGGGCAGGGGTAATTTATTAAGGAAATGACAGAACACACTTTTTTAAAATCAAAATGCTTATTTAATCACAAATAAACAGCGCTTTTTACTGACTTTAAAAAAGACAGAACTCTTATTCTGTATCTGAGCTCCAGGTAAAAAAGCAAAAAATAGTTTATGCATGCAATCAAATCAAGTGCAGGTTCATATTTTTAAAACCCTCAAAGGATAGACAGTGAGAAACTTTATGAATTACTTTCTCTCATGCCTTCCATCCTGTGTACTTCAATCAGCAGCAGTAATCCAATTCTAAATCCCCCTGCCAACTGGAGAATGGTGTGAAGATCACAATCTTTCTTAATCGCAATCCTAAAATTGTGGAGGACCTGCTTTGAAGAGGTTCACCTGATATAGTCCTTGAGTTCTGCCAACATTGATGAGTTTCTCTGTCCTCACCAGCAAGATGTGTTTTCCTGATGGCTCTTTTTACACTGTTGTCGTAATTATCTTTGTGTTTCATCTTTTTAAAGGCTTTGATCCTTCTCAATTATTATCATTTTATTAAAATCTAATTTGAGATACATGTAAGACTTATGTTATCTTCCTCGCCGAGCCATATTTCCATCTCCTTTAGTTATTTGAGGTATTTGTGGTCTCTGGATTTGTGACCTTTTAACAGTTAGGTTAAAAGGTCACAAATCCAGAGACCACAAATACCTCAAATAACTAAAGGAGATGGAAATATGGCTCGGCAAGGAAGATAATATAAGTCTTTTGGTCCAGCACTACTTTAACTTTAAAAATCTAGCCTCAAGGATAAGAATAGTGGAAGTTGCTCTTTATTGGGAACGAAATGATACACCTATGTAGCTCGGTATGATTTAACTGTAAGTATCAGAAACTTTTAAGAACTCCAGTAGAGATATTTCTCATTGATAACTCTATTCTTCCTCTGAACTATAATTCGTTTCTCAAGGAGGTAACAGTATGCTGGTAAACCTGACCTCAACAGTCTTCCAAATCTTCCCATGTTTCTTCATCCAATATAAAAGAGTAACAATACCTGGAGATCGGCTCTTGTACTTCAAAATACCACCTCCAAGAGTTGGGCTCTGACAGTTCTCTTTAGAACTCTCTTCTTCTGTAGGATCTGAGGACCTGTCCGTATCGGTCATGTGTGTCATCTGAAGGAGAAGAAGGGATATTTTTTTTTTAAAAGTCCAGCTAAATTTTCTAGGATGTAGAATGTAGGATGTAGAAAATGTAGGATCTAGCTTTCCATAGCTAAATTATGTATTATCCCAAGGAAGCTATAAATGAGGATCTCAAGCAGAATTGTTGCAGCTTATTTGCACTGATATTTGTAACCAGGAAAAAACAATAGAATAGAATAGAATAGAATAGAATAGAATAGAATAGAATAGAATAGAATAGAATAGAATAGAATAGAATACTTTATTGACCAAGTGTGATTGGACACACACAAGGAATTTGTCTCCGGTCCATAACCTCTCAGTGTACATACAAGCAACAAGTGATAATCATAATCATAAAATATAATCATCATAAATCATAGATACAACACTCAGTGATAGTCATAGGATACTAAAGCAATCAACATAAATCATAATAGGATACTAAATAAAAGCAATCAACATAAATCATGAGATACAACAAGTTATAGTCCTAAGAATCTAAGGACATGGGTAATAAGATAGATGTTGAGAGAGATAATAAGTAATACAGCCCTATTAGGTGGTTTGACATCCCAGGGCATAGACAGTGTTGTGGGAATTAGATACTTAACAGAGTGATGGCGGGGTGGGGTGGGGGGAGAACTGTCTTTGTGTCTAGTTGTTTTGGCATGCAATGCCCTATAGTGTCATTTTGAGGGAAGAAGCTGAAACAGTTTATGTCCAGGATGTGAGGGGTCTGAAGATATTTTCACAGCCCTCTTTCTGGCTCATGTAGTATATAGGTCCTCAATGGAAGACAGGCTGGCTGCAATTATTTTTCCTGCAGTTTGAACTATCCAATGAAGTCTGTGTTTGTGTTGTTTGATTGCTGTGTCAAACCAGATAGTTATAGAGGTGCAAATGACAGACTCAATAATTCCTTTGTAGAACTGTATCAACAGCTCCTTCGGCAGTCTGAGCTTTCTGAGTTGGCACAGGAAGAACATTCTTTGTTGTGCTTTTTTGATGATGTTTTTGATGTTAGGTGTCCATTTTAAGTCCTGAGATATTATACAACCTAGAAACTTGAAGATCTCTACTGTTGATAC